TTTAAAATAGGTAAAAAGCAATGTGATGCTTTCAATTTTTGTTCTTTTTGTTCAAGATTGCTTTGACTATACAGAGTGTTTTGTAGTTTCTAAAAAATTTATGACTGCTTTTTCTAGTGTTCTATAGATCAGTAGGGTAATTCAATTTTAGCAATAATTTATTGTATATTTTAAAGTAACTAAAATAGAGAATTTTGAATTATTACACAAATTAATGATAAATTCTTGAGATGATAGATTTGCTACTTTATTTCGATGATCACATTTTATACATGTACTGAAAAGTTACACTATACCCCATAAATATGTATAATTAAAATGTACCGACAAAAAAGCCAGTATGCCAAGCACATATTTGTACTCTCATGTTTATTCCAATACTATTTACAATAACCAAAATGTGAAAACTCTAAATGTTTAAAGATCTATGAACAAATAAATAAAATGTGTCATATGGGGCCAACAGGTGGTGTGGTGGCTAAGGTACTAGACTCTCACATGGTCCACCAGGGTTCAAGTCCCAGACCCAGTGGCTTAAAACACCAGATGCATGTGTGTATATGCCCAAAGTCCCAAGAGGAGAATAGAGGAGAAGAGAGTGTGGTATGGCCATACCCTTTGGGGAGTGATTTCTCATTTTCCCTTTTCCCTTTCTCTGTCTCTCTCCAGCAAGTGCATACACCCTATGGAAAAAAAAATGTGGTAAATAGTTATTAATTTTTGGCAGGTGCCATCACACCCCTTATTAAGCTATTAAAAAGAAGGAAATACTACTATTTAAGAACACATGAGTGAAAGTGCATAAATCAAGTGTGATGATTGAATTAGAGTAATTAGCAAATCTATGATCTCAAGATTTTGTCATGAGTTTGTGTAATAATTCAAAATGCTCACAGACTGCACTGTGTTTGCAGTCACTCCCCTTCACTCGCATTGCTATCTGGGCTCCACCTCCTGTTGAATCAGCAACAATACTGAATTCTCGTGGGAATGGGAAGCCTATTGTTGTGTGATTATTTCATTGTATACTGTAATGTGAGTGGTGGAAATGGGTGCACAGTGTATTTTGTGCCCTTGAGTCACCCTGAGACCAACTCTCCCACTCTCCCCCAGGAGGGATCATCTTCCACGAGACTGGTCCCTGGTGCCAGAGATTGGGGACCACTGCTTTATAGTAAGAAGACCTGAGATCAAAATTTTCTTCATCTGCCAGTTTTCTTGCTACATAATTTGAGCAATTCACATGCCTCTGTTTCAGTCTATTTTCATGTTGTTATAACTGGATAACACAGAGTGGGTAATTAACTTAAAAAAATAAAGGTTTATTTGGTTAATGATTTAGACAATTAAATTCTAGGTACTGAATCTTGCTTGTGGGGACTCTGCAGAGTTCTGAGATGGTACAAGGCATCACATGATGAAAAAACAAGAACGTGTGTCTGTGACCAGCAACAGCTCTGGTCTCTCTCTTTCTTGGTATAAAGTCACAATAATTCAACCAAAGTCCCCACACTAATGACCTTATCTAATCCCAATCACCTGCCAAAAGCCCTACTTCTTAATATTCGGTTGGATTGCATTTTCAGTCCCTTAATACCACTCCAGGGAGTTAAGCTTCCAATGCATAAACTTTTGGGACATACATCCAAACCAGAGCAACCTCTCTGAGTCTCAGTTATCTTGTTTCTTTTGCTAAATGGGGTCAATAATAAGTTCTTTCCATTAAAATTGTAAAGAGGACTAAAATTAATTATTCATGTAAAGCTTTTAACATAGGTCCTAGCACACACCAAATATGTATTAGCCTAAGAGTTAAGTTGAAAAAAATTTTAGTGTCTGGATCCAAAACTAATCTGGGCCCAGAAGGAACTGTCCCATAGAGTTTTGAAATAAAGTAGCTCAGCTATAGGCTCATCTGCCCATCAATATTAATTGGGATCTGAAGCCTGATTATTAGCATTATATTAATTAATGTCTATAGTTTACTAAGCATCTTCCCATTCTCCAAGAGAAGCAATGTGTTGTGAGAATAAATGTAATACACATAATGCCTGACCCAGAGTGAGTGCTCTGTGTTATTTCATAGATGAGAAAGCAGGCTGAAAAGTATTAACTAATCTGAAGTTACATAGCTAATTGACAAAATGGCACACTGGTGTCAAATTCAAATCCCACCCACAACACAGCTACAAAAGCTGATGTGTTAGACAACAGTTGAATAGTAGTTAATATTTGAAAAAAATTATTTCCCAGATGAGTTGCTTTACCTCATTCTGCAGTGTTTAAGTGACTTGTGCAAAAAACACAAAACACAAATATGTGAACCCAATTTTCTTGGCCAGCAGTGCAATTTTTTACCCTACGTCATTTCTTTCTTTTTTTATTTTTTAATTTCTTTTGAGAGAAAGAAGGGATTGCAGCATGGTCACCCCAGGGGGGTGACCATGCTGCAATCCCTTCTCCTTCATTCTCCTCTCAGGATCTTGGGCATGCACGCACATGTGCCTGGGTTTAAGCCACCAGGTCCAGGACTCGAACCATAGTCGACTACATGGGAGTTCGGCAACATAGCCATTACACTAACTGTTGGTCCCTATTTTTTTAATTTCTTAACCCACCCAACCAATGGTGGCTCTCTAAAGTATTTTTCAAACTACTGGTGGAAAACAATGGGGAAGACCCCCAAAGCACAAGCAATAATCTCCAAAATAGACAGGTGGGATTACATCAGATTAAGAAGTTTCTGCACAGCAAAGAACACAGTAATTAGTGTGAATCAACAACCTTCAGAATGGGAGAGAATTTTTGTTAACTATGCCTCAGAGAAGTGGCTGATAACCAGAATACACAGGGAATTCAAATGACTTACCCAGAAGAAAATGATTAACACAATTAAAAGATGGGGAAAATGAGCTGAATAAACAACTCTCTAAAAAAGACATATGATCAGCCAAACACCATATGAAAAAATTATCTACATCCCTCATCATAAGGGAGATGCAGATCAAAACCACAATAAGATACTACCTAACCCCAGTCAGAATGGCAAAGATTAAAAAATATATATGATAAGTGCTGATGGGGATGTGGTGAAAGGGGAACTCTCATACATTGTTGATGGGAATGTAAATTGGTCCAGCCACCATGGAGAACAATATGGAGGTTCCTCAAAGATCTACAAATAGAACTACCATATGATCCACCAATTCCACTCCTGGATATCTACCCAAAGGACAGGAGAGCACTCAGTCAGAAAAGCAGTTGCACAGCTATATTTACTGTGGCATTATTCACAATTGCTAAGACATTGAATCAACCTGAATGGCCATAAACAGATGAATGGATTGAAAAAGTATGGCACATATACTCCATGGAACACTATTCAGCCATAAAAAGCAACAAGCCCTGGCATTTGATAGAAAGTGGACAAACATAGAAGATCTATTGCTGAGTGAAGCAAGTCAGGCTATGAAACAGAGACAGTGTCTCCACTTAACATATACCAACTGTCTACACTCTACAGCAGAGACTGAAAGACTGGAGGACATAAAAGCATTCAAAATTATTATGGACACTGGGGACAAAGTGGAAGGAGAGTGGGAGAGGTGAAGAGTGCAGGAAGGGAAATTTGGGGAAATATTGAGGAGTAAGACATTGGTGTTACACAGATATGGTTTGTTGCCTGTTGGGACATGTATAGTGGTCTCAACTCATCTGCTGTGTGATGTATATCATATTGGGTAAAACTGTTTACAAACTAAATGAGATATAATGATTGACTGTATAAAAATAATAAATAATGCTAATGAAGAAAATCACAAAAAAGTGTCATATTTCCTTAAAGTAAAAGCTCCCAGAGTTCAGAAGCTGTTTTTTATTTAATCTACATACCTCATTTTATCACATGCAACTAAACACACACACACACATGCATAGGCATCTTGCACAATAATAGCATGAAATGGGTATAAAACAAATGCTGTTGACTATCTACTACCTCTGCAGCTTGGATTTTTACCTCTTTAACAGATGAACAGAAAAACAAAAGGGCGATAACAATAAATTTTGGGTTGAATGATTATACAGAAAAGGCAGTAATTCACAGTTACTCCATATGTCAGCTAAGAGTTCAGTTTCTAGGTGGGTAGAAGCTCCACTTTGCCACTTACCTACTCAGGAAAATTATTCAACCTCTCTAAGACTTAAGTGCCTCCTCTACCTAAGAAGCAGGCATAATAATAGACTTACTTCATAGGGATGTCCTACAAATTATGCCAGATAATTCTAATAGCAAATGTATTAAAATTCCTGGAAGGTCATAGTGCTTAATGAATGTTAATTATTATCTATTATTATTATAGGTTTTCTTATTTAAAAAGCGCAAAAACAATAAGAAGGCAAAAAAACAAGTAAGGAAATTTGGAAAATTTATTTGGGTCAAAAATGTACCTGCATTTATAAGTAGCTTTATAATTTTCCAAATATTTTTGCTTTACTCATCAAAAATGTGACAGGCAATAACCTGGGTTCAACACAAGTACTAGTGAATAAGGCAGATATGGTCTCTGCCCCTTCATTCTCTGGATTCTTAAAAACATATTCCTATGAAGTAGGTAAATCTACTTGGCAGATAATAAAATTAAAGAAGTTGGAATGTACAGGTAAACACTGGAACCTGAGACAAGTGACATTCATTCGACAATTACTTACTGAGTGCCTTTTATGTGCTAGGTACTTGGTGAGGCATTGGGCATGCATAAAGGAAGTTCCCACATAAGAAATGCTTGCTCTAATGTAGTATTTTACTTGTGAGGGTAAGACAATGTCAGACATGTAAAACATCCTGTCTATCCAATGGTAACAAGTATTATAGAGAATAATAAATCGGAAAGTAGAGATGGGGTGTTTGGATACAATTTTAGAAAGGGTTGTCTAGGAAAGCTTCCTCAAGAAGGTGATATTTGAGAAAAGACAAAGAATGGAGAAACTAAGAAATCTGTTTAGGCCCTCTTAGAAAGCTTTGATCTGCTCAGCGATTTTATAACAGCCTCCTTTACTTCTTTATTCCTCAGACTATAGATGAGGGGATTCAGCATTGGCGTCACCACCGTGTAGAGTACAGATATTACTCTGTCTCCATCTGAGGACTGGTCTGAGTTATCTCGCAGGTACATGAAGATGAGAGTACCAAAGAAGAGAGCAACAGCAGTGAGGTGGGAGGCACAGGTAGAAAAGGTCTTGGCCCTGCCGCCAGCCGAGCGGATCCGCATGACGGCCATGATGATAAACAGGTAGGACACCAAGATCACCAGTATACAAACGGGCATGACAAAAATGGCGAATGCAATAATAACCATTTCTTGGGTGTAGCTGTCACCACAGGTGAGTTTTAATAGAGGAGGGAGGTCACAAAAAATGAAGTTGATCTCATTGTTTCCACAAAAGGAGAGAGTGAAGGCCGTGACTGTTCGAACGAAGCCACTGGTAAAACCAGCAACGTAAGCCGCAGATACTAAGCCCACACGGGCTTTCTCAGTCATGATGGTGACATAGAGCAGGGGGCGGCATACGGCCACATAGCGGTCATAGGCCATGATTGCCAAGAGGTAGCAGTCAATGGAAGCAAAGAAGGTAAAGAGAAAGAACTGGGTTGCACAGCGAGCTTGGGAGATGACTGCACCACGTTCCCACAGCACAGCCAACATCTGGGGAACAATGGCAGAGGAGTAGCAGATGTCCACAAAAGAAAGCTGGCTGAGGAAGAAGTACATCGGGGTGTGGAGCCGGCGATCTTTGCGGATCAGGATGATCATCCCTGAGTTCCCCAACAGAGTGGCGAGATAGAAACTCAGAAACACCAGGAAGAGAGCAAGCCCCCACTCAGGATGCTCAGTGAATGCAATAAGAAAGAACTCAGTCACCACAGTGTAATTGTTCACAGCCATCCATTCAGTGGTTCTCCTGGAAGGGTTAAGATGAGAGCCAGATGAGGGGATCCCTAAGAGACATTCAAGTCATTTCGAGTAGCAAAGTTTTAAACTGAGTGTCTGACATGGACGCACTTGACTTCAACAAACTTTGCAGTCTCAAAGTACAATCCGACAAACAGAAAGCTCACTATAAGATAAAAAGTGATGAATGCTTCTATTATAGTAAGAAGAAAGAGCAAGTGACTCTCAGACTTACAAGTCAGCTTTTGTATTTGTAGCTGTGTCCCAATGAGTTGTTTGGTCTTACAGAAGGCACTTACCCTCTGTGAACCTCAATTTCCTTCTCTGCCAAAAGGTATCATAATATCTACGCTGATTATCACATGAAGTCAATACATAGAGTAAAACAAATGCAAAAGCACATTGGAGAGTTAAAATCATATAGATATTGCTGCTATTTAATATTTTAAATGAACATTTTAAGGAAGGAACATTTATATTCTGTAGGCAAAAGAACATGAACCAAAAAAACTTCATTAGCAATCAGCCATGGGCTTTGCTTCTAGGAACATTTCTATTTTCAGTGTAATGCTAGGCTTGTTTAACGAACAGTTGTTATCCTAATCAGAGTTGACTGGTTTACTAGGTTGGTGGTGGGGAGTTGTATATACACACAAGCATTAATTTTGAAATCAAAAGAATAAGCATAAGCTCCTTTAGGCATCCAGCAAAGCTCCAGAAGCATTGTTTGCGTGTTCTCAAAGTCCCCAATAAAATAAAAACAGTAGTTGGATAATACAGATTCCATCTGTGTGGTTGGAGGAATCTGGGTTATTAGACTTGGGGGTTCTTGATAAAGTTCTACCACAGGACTATGGATTTTGATGGAGAATATGGGCTTTGGGAAAATTCTTAAAAGTGGTTATTTAAGTAAAACTCATCAGGGTTAGGTTACTTAATTATAATGTTGAAACAATCAATTTAAACCCAAAATTTCACAAGAGCAACTGAAAAAAAAAAAAAAGAAAGAAAGAAAAGAAAACAGCTTTGGTCATATTCAAAGACCTAATGTACCAGCAGCTAGGACAACACTGAGCTAAGCCATTAGGGCTAATAACAAAGATATTAGACCTGAAAGTCATGAGCTGGGCATGTACCATCCTCACCTGAATTCCACTTTACTGATGTCTTCCTCCTTTGTTCACAGTATTTCCTCTGCCTGTGATCTGCCAATCCAGATGACAACTGAATTCCAGTTCACCCACATTGTCTGTGCGACCCTGAGCAAGTCACCTTTCCTCTGAGTTTTGTCTATGTCTTTGCTCCCTTTCAATAAACAATGTAGCATTTGCCCATAAGCAGCAACCTGGTTGAGATGTCATTGTTTCCAGTACCTCTACATCTTATTCTCACTTCTAGGAAACTCTTTCCTCTTGCCATTAACAAAGCAATACATCTCTGACACTAGTTTCCTGGAGATTTTTCAGTCTCAGTCCAAGATAGGAGAGGTGGGGGACCCGCCTGACTGTTTGAGTGTCTGATCCAACTCCAGCCCTTGCTGGTGGTGCTGCTTATAGTCACTGTCCCAGCATCGTGCTCTAATTGGTTCCTGAGGTGACTCTCCAGGGGAGGGATGAATTATCTTCATTTGATTTCCTCACCTGACTTTGAAAGTTTCTCTTTAGTCTCAAATTCCCAAAGTCTCATCCCACATCCTGCCATCTCAGCAGGGGCTGGTTCTGAGACTTGCCTTCTCTCTGCCTTGTGCCAAAAAGAATGGAAATATTTCTTTGAAGTTTTCCTGTATCTTCGTTGGGGATTTTGTCAGGGGTTTTACACAATGCCACTTACACAATGCTGGCTACAACCTGATCCTACAAAGAAGCTATTTTATAAGTACAAGTTTTTGCTTTCCATTACCAAGACATTGGTGACTTTGGAAAGTTCACCATTTGGCACAAGTAGAGATTGGTTGCAGTGGGGTGTCACAAGATGATATCTTGGCAAGACACATGTGAGCAGGCCATGAACAGATTCCTATCAGACAAATTAAACAAGTTCTTAATGGTAACCGGTCCCTCCACCAAAGGGGAGGAGGCTAAAAAGTAAATGTGTGTGGGACCAGCAGTTAGCGTAATGGCTCTGTTGCTGGGCTCCCATGTAGTCGACTGTGGTTTGAGTCCCGGACCCAGTGGCTTAAAACTCATGCCAGGCACGTGTGCGTGCATGCCCAAGATCCTGAGAGGAGACTGGAGGAGAAAGGATTACAGTGTGGCCATTCCCCCTGGAGGGTGATTTCTCGCTTTCTGTCTCTCTGTCTCTCTGTCTTTCTGGAGAGCACACTCACCTTATAGCAAAAATCTCTCAAATAAATAAATAAATAAATAACAAATGTGTGTAAAAATTACCATAAGAACTTTTTTTTAAATGAGAATATTGGGTTGGTCTTATAACGTAGTAGATAAGAGAGCCAGTTCCCACATGGCCGACTATGATTCAGATTTCAGTTTCAGAAGTTTAAAAGTCACACTGGAAGCTGTGTGTGTGTGTGTGTGTGTGTGTGTGTATGTGTGTGTGCCCTAAATGCTGATAGGTTGGAGAAGGGATCGCAGTGTGACCATGCACTCTCTCTGGAGCACTCTCTGGCAATTATAAAAGAAAAAAAAAGACTATTAGCGCACCACCCTCATTGATCCTGGTGCAGAGCCAGGATCTGCCAGGAGGAACGGGCATCTGCATTGCTAACAGGCATCCCAGGTGATTCCGATCCACTAAATCTCCAGCATTTATACGGAGACAGTGCCTGCAGAGTATTGTCAGGAGCCCTAGCCCAGCTTGACCTTCTGTGTACTATGCCAAAAACTAAAAGAAAATAATAAAGACGTGTTCTTGAGGAGCACGATCTTGCCAAGGTCCCATAAGTGCATGTCTTCCTCAGGAGACCTGAAATATTCAAGGTGAATTTGATGTTTCCCTACCTTAAAAATTAAAAAACCTAGATAGAAAGAATTTGAAACTTCTTGTTGGGGAAAAATAAAATAAACAAAAATAAATTAAAAACCCTGAACCAATGCAGTGCTCAGTGTTCTGTTGATGAAGCCTATTCAGAAGATGACACAAGAACTCCAAGGTAATGTTTCATAAACTTTGCTGCTCATTAGAAGCACCTGGGATGGGACCGGCAGTTGGCGTAATGGCTATGTCACTGAACTCCCATGTAGTTGACCGCGGTTCGAGTCCTGGACCAGGTGGCTTAAACTCACACCAGGTGCATGTGCATGCGTGCCCAAGATCCCGAAGAGGAGAATGGAGGAGAAAGGATTGCGGCGTGGCCATCCTCCCTGGGGGGTGATTTCTTGCTCTCTGTCTCTCTGTCTCTCTCTGTCTTTCTGGCGAGCGTACATGCCCTATAGCAAAACCCTCTCCAAAAAAATAAAAAAGAAGAAGCACCTAGGAAAATTTTAAAATCTTGAGGCTCAGTTGTACCCCTTAACAATTAAATAAGAATGTCTGAACACCAGTAATTTTTTAGTCCAGGTAAATACAATGTGCAACAAGATTGAGAACCCTGCCAGAAGGCTCTTAATTTGCAAAACCCTACCTTTCCCCAGGTGTCTTTGATAGACATTGTAGGGAGGGAAAAGAGTTTACTGTTCTCATAAGTTTATTTGCATACTATATTCCTCACATGGAAAATAATATTGCATATCAGCATACTGAAGGATCTACAAAGTCTTATAGGCTGGGGCCAGCAAGTGGCATAGTGGTTAGGAGCAGGACTCCTACATATCTGGCTGAGGAAGCTTGAAAATCATGCCAGGCACGTGTGTGTGTGTGTGTGTGTGTGTTTGTGTGTGTGTGTGTGCCCAAAATCCTGAAAATAGAATGGAGGAGAAGGGATTGTGGCATGGCCATCCCCTCTGGGATGATAATTTCTCACTTTCTCTCTCTCCATCTCTCTCTGTCTCTCCAGCAAGTGTACACACCCTATAGCAAAAATCTCTCCAAAGAAAATGAAAATAAACTTCACTGGCTTTCTATAACCAGCTACTTTTCAAAAATTCTTGAGCTCAGACTCTCTTTTCCATTAGCATCCTGTAGAGCAAGAGTTTCCAGAGAAGGAAGCTCCTTAGGCAATGCAGCCCCAAAGAGGCTCAGAAATTATTCAAATGCCAAACAGCAAAGCAGTAATTATTATAAGAAACAACATCTCCTGATGACTCACCACAAGATCTAGCTCCCTCTAGTCTCAGTCAAACTGGCTCCCCCAAGAACAAGCTGAGAAAGGAATTAGGAGGGATTCTGGGGGGAAGCAGCATTCTTCTAGATGGATCCCCCAAGTACTATAGAAGAAGAAAAAAACCTTGTCCTTTAACAAGATTTTCCTTTCTGTTGTGAAGTGGGAACATTGACTGAGACCCTGCAGTTCTACTTCATAATTAACAGGTACCCTCCGCCCCCATCCCAGATGAAAGAAGATGCTGAAGTCACCACAACCCTGCTTTTAGAAAGCTTTGGTAAATCAAAAGATCAAAACATCACATTGTACCCCATAAATACATACACATGATTGTCGATTTTTTTTTTTAAATTTTTAAAGATGGGCACAGTCACAGCAGCACTGGCAATAGGGATACTGCTGCACGATGCTGAAGACCATGTGGAAAGGCTCCAGGTTGATGCCCTGGGTCTACTTCAGCACAGACCGTGTGCTCACAGATGTGTCCATAACCCTGGCTGGCTTGCAGGGCTGGGAAGAGAATCACAATGTGAAAATCTTATTTGAGTGTCTTTCTGTCTCTTTGTCTCTTGTTCTAGAAAAAAATAAGTTTTTTACAAAATAATTATAATTGACATAAAAAAATACTATCAGAATGATGAAGATGATTCAGTCACCATTTGACCAGTTCCAAGAAAGGAGAAAAATCAAAATTTTACATGCTAGAAAGATTAGGATCTATAATAAAGAAGTCTGGGGGGCCAGATGGTGGTGTAGCAGTAATACACACTCTATGAGGCAGAATCACATAGGAAGGTTCTGTGTTCTTATCCTAAGACCTCCCTATACATGCCAGGCACATGTGTGTGCCCATGATCAGGCCAGCTCATGCTAAGGGGATATGATGGCATGAATACCCTGTAGGATGTGTTTCTTTCTCTCTCTGAAAAAAAATGAAATTTAGAAAAATGTTTCTAAAAAGAATTTTTCTAAAAGGAAGATAGCTATAATGTTTTACTGTGATTGTTACTAAGACCTACAGATCTGACCAAAATTTGGAAGGCAAATATCACAGGGTTAATAAGAGCAAACACTGTTTTAGCTACTACTGTATACCAGCTCCCTCTTGTAAGATAGATATTACACATACAAAAATACATACGTACATAGATAGACGTATTAGCTCATTTCATCCACACATCATGTAAGTTAGGTACTATTATTATCCCCATTTTAAGGAGATAACAAAATTTAAAGTGGACCAGAGAGAGTGGCAGATCTAGGGTTTAACCCTGAGAAGTCTGGCTCCAGAATGCACACATCTAACTCTAACACTATATTGCAAACTCTCCAAAGAACGTCTCTGAACTCCCTGTTTTGAAACAATTGAGAGAGCTTCCTTCTTTATCTGTATTTTACTCCTGAGGGGCACACAGAGGCCCAGCAGTAAAATGAAACACTGTAAGGCAATCCCTCATGAGAAGGTTCCTAACAAGCCTGGAGATGTCTCTGAAAATTCAGGGTATGCACCTGTCCATGATCCAAAACTGAGTAAGGGTATACTTTGAAAAACCATATTGTGTGCTTTAGATATGTACAAAAATTAAATATGAATAAGAAATCATAAATGTATTTTTTAATTGGGTGAAGGCTGAAGATAGGTTTAATATCAGGACTTGTTTGGAGTACTTTCTCTTTCTCTCTCTCTCTGATAGAAGAAATAAATAAATAAACATTTTGAAAAATGGATTTTCTTGTAGTCTTGGTTTCTAACCTTGAGGACCTGGCTCAGACATTGGACTTAAGTTGTGACGCTAACAAATTGTGATAAGAAATTCTGGGGCATTTGGCCAGGTCCTTGTTCCTTCTACAAAGAATCACCACAGTCACTGATGAAGGAGTGAACTCAGGTTCCACCATAGCACATGTGGCATCACCTTTGTCACCATAGATAACAGGACAAAGAGAAGATCAGATGTGAGTTGAATGAAGTGATAACCCTCTTCCAAAAAGCTCTTTCCTTGAACTACTTTAAGTGAATATCGGTTCCTTACCATCAAGAAGTCATGACTTGTGTCCTCAAGAAAGTACTAGAACAGGTGTAAGGAGGATAAATATTCAGCCCTTGCCCTGGGATTCATCTTCACTATCTTCTCCCATTCAGACTTGGGTGGATCACATGCCAAGTCAAGGCTGAGGAACACCTGGTGCCTATAAATTTGTTCTGGAAGGATTTTGGAAGGACTTACCCTGCTGCAAAATGTTTCTTCTCAATTCATCATTGACATCCCTGCCCTGGCTTTACATATTCTGGAACTGTAGAATTTTTATAGGCTCTCTTAAGATGGTAGAACTAAAGGATTTATTGGGGTCAATAACCCAGGCTTTCAAGTCCACAGGTAAACAGGCTGAAGCCCTTCAATGGATGGCGAATGGTTGGATCAGTACGTTTTATCCCTTGCCCATGACTCTCTAAGTCTAAACTGGTTAACTACTGCTTTATCCAGTGGTTGCCTTTTGCCCTTTGTTTGCGGGCTGTCATCCTGTGAATATTAGAAAGATGGTATCTACAAGAAGATGAAAGTACTCGTGGAAATGGCATGTCATGGTTAGAGTAAAGAAAGGTAGATTTCTCGGACGAGAAGGGATGCTGTTCTGGGAACAGAAAGGAAGGAATTTTCACCATGCTAAGGTAAGGAGAGTCAGAGCAAATCTCACTGCACCTGTGCTTCAGGGAATCTCACGGAAACTCTTTTGGGGTTTCTGTCTCCCTCTCTCTCTCTCTCTCATGGAAAAAATAAACAAATAAAACTTTCTTTAAAAAATTTTAATTAGAAGGAGGCACTAAATTGTTTCCTGAGATCTGGCAATTCAATCTCTCATACTCCCTGTCTTCCAGTAGATTGTAAAAGATCAAACAACTCTTCAGTTCTTTGCTCTTACTTACATGGACCAATTTTTTCAACCAGGAAAGTATTTCATATAGCCAATTAAAGCTTTCTAACTACTTCTTTAATGTTCCCACCACCTGCTGTTAACAGGAAATGTTTATTAATCATCCTCCTTGGTGTAGCTATAAATTTTCAGCCTGAGTTTCAATACCCAAACAAAGCACTACTAAGGGGATACATTTTTTTAATATTATAATATATATTTTAAATATCATTTCTTCTAGAGTAAACTTACATCTTTGAAGATGTAGATGTGTTTTATTTTACTATAAATGATCTTAAATTGAATGTCTTTTGGGTCCATGCACTCTGAATCTTTCATGTTCTCATATCTGCTTCTTCAAATTTAAAGTCCTATTACCAGAATTTCATGTGTGTCACAGCATTTTTGGCTGACTGAGTTTGAACTCATCCTCTGTTTGAAAGATACTCTTTCTCTCACACACAGACACATTCCATTTCTCTCTCACAGTTGTTCACACCATTTTGGTAATCCAGGATATAGACAAAGAAGGAGTTTGAGTTTTAGGAATGAGATCAAAGAAAATGCCCAAAAGATGGGTAGATGAGCATTGTTCCCTTTCAGTGCCTTGGGTTTGATAGAAGCAAGGCACCTTTGGTTAGAAAAGTCAAGATCAGGAACCAACAATTTTGAGGGGCTTGGACATAGGCTGGGCTGTTGCAGAGCATGGGGACCCAGTATAGGAAGGGATATCTTCACGACCAACCCTGAATGAAACCACCAATGCTCTGCCTCTGTGAGGACAAAAGCCTTAAGAACATGGACAGTTGACATCTATGATACAGACCGTAGAAATACCATTATGGGTAAGTGAGAATAACATAACTTCATGAGGTGGATTCTCAGGCATGCAATATGACAGGTGGTAACTATTGTAGAACAGTGTCAGAGAAGAAAGATCGGGGTATATTTCCAGTGGTGATAACAATAAACAAACATCTTATGGAGGGCATTTTTTAGAGATTCATGTAGGAACTACTGGGATTCATCTGGGAACTACTACCAGAGCGTGAAGAAAATCCTGAGCAGGGTAAGCTTTACTAATTGGGTCCAACTACTGTATTTTGATCACTAAAAATAAGTGTAATCTAAGTATTGAATCCTAATTGATGATATATTTCTTAAGTGTGTAGGAATAAAGAATATCAATGCTGATATCTGCAACTCACTTTTTTTTTCTTTTTTTTTTTTTTTTTAGAGGTTTTTGCTATAGGGTGCATGCGATTGCCAGACAGACAGAGAGAGACAGAAAGCAGGAAATCACCCCCCAGGGGGGTGGCCACGCCGCAATCCCTTCTCCTCCATTCTCCTCTCGGGATCCTGGGCATGCACGCACACGCGCCCGGCGTGAGTTTAAGCCACCAGGTCCGGGACTCGAACCATGGTCGACTACGTGGGAATCCAGCAACATAGCCATTACGCTAACTGGTGGTCCCTGCAACTCACTTTTAAATGCATCAAAAAAAGTAATGGATGAATCGATGAATGGATAAGTGAACAGATAGTAAGGCAAATATAGCAAAATATTAGCAACTGTTAGCAAATATTACAGAACCTAAAGACTGAGTATGGGGAGTTCACTATATCTATGTTATTTTCTTTTTTGATGTGTATGTTTATCTGATCGAAATTTTTCATAGAAAAGTTTGCAAAAAATGCAATTATGTTTCATAATCACAAACTGGTAAGACATGCTGCTTCTGAATTGCATTGTAATAGTTTCTGATTCTCTTCTCATTTGTCCTGGGAGTCTCAGTCTCTTTCTCTCTCTCTCTCTCTCTCTCTCTCTCTCTCTCTCTCTCTCTCTTTCTCTCTCTCTCTCCTCTCCAGTGTCTTTTCAGGCTGCCTTTCCTTTTCTTCCATCTTCTCTTTGAAGCTAAAAGTTCTGGTTTTTTTTTTTTTGTTTTTTTTTTGTAGATGTTTTTTGCTATAGGACATATGCTGCACTCACCAGAAAGACAGAGAGACAGAGAAACAGAAAGCAAGAAATCACCCCCCAGGGGGGATGGCCATGCCACAATCTCTTCTCCTCCAGTCTCCTCTCGGGATCTTGGGCACGCATACACATGTGCCCGGCGTCAGTTTAAGCCACCGGATCCGGGACTCTAACAGTGGTTGGCTATATGGAAGTCCAGCGACATAGCCATTATGCTAACTGCTGATCCTGTTTGTTTGTCTTTAATGTTGCATACCATAATACCCTCATTTAAACATTGCACACACTACAAAGAATGTGCGCCCAGAATGCTGGAACTATAGAGTTGGCAATTCTCAAGATTTTCCAAGGTTAGAGATGGTTAAAACAACTTGATTCTATTGAGAATTTTTCTCAAGGCCTCTTTTACTTCCTTGTTCCTCAGGCTGTAGATAAGGGGGTTCAACATGGGGATCACCATTGTGTAGAAAACAGACACCACTAGATCTTCTTCTGACGACTGGCCAGAGTTATCTCTCATGTACATGAAGATGAGGGTGCCAAAGAAAAGTGACACAGCAGTGAGGTGGGAGGCACATGTAGAGAAGGTCTTGGCCCTACCTCCAGCGGAAGGGATCCTCAGAATAGCCACGATGATAAACAGGTAGGACACCAAGATCACAACCATGCAGGCAGGGAGGACAAAAATGGCGAACACAATGATTACCACTTCCTGGGTGTAGCTGTCCCCACAGGTCAGCTTTAGCAAAGGAGGGAGGTCACAGAAAATAAAGTCAATCTCATTGGTTCCACAGAAGGAGAGAGTGAAAGCTGAGACTGTCCTCACCAAAGCACTGAAGAGACCAGCAATGTAAGCCCCAACCACAAAACTCAAGCGGGTCTTCTGTGTCATGATAGTGACATAAAGCAGGGGTTGGCATACAGCCACATAGCGGTCATAGGCCATGGTAGCCAGGAGATAGCAGTCGATGGAACCAAAGAAGGTGAACAGGAAGAACTGAGCAGCACAGCGTGTATAGGATAACACTGCCCCATGCTCCAACAGCACGTCCATCATCTGAGGAACAGTGACAGAAGAGTAGCAGATGTCCATGAAGGAGAGGTGACTCAGAAGGAAGTACATCGGGGTGTGGAGCCGGTGATCCATACGGATTAGAATGATCATCCCCAAGTTTCCCAATAAGGTGATGAGATAGATAAATAAAAACAGGAGGAAGAGAGGGAGTCCCCATTCAGGACATTTAGCGAATGCAACAAGGAAGAATTCAGTCACTAAGGTGATATTTGCCTCTGCCATGAAGCCCTTGGAAACTGGGAAGAGTAGCATGAAAAGCAAGTTATGAATCTGCATGTAGGATTTCCTGTACTGCTCGTTTACATTACTGAACACATACTATGGACAAAACATGCCAGGTACTATGTAGGGCTTCAGAAAGTATTGATCTTAGCTCATGCCTGCAAAAGAATTCTGTGACACAGAGTCATCTGTTATGTCAAGGAAATAGATATAAGTAAATATTTTTTGGAGAGGAATTTTTTTTTCCTATAGGGTATGTGTGCTCCCCTGAAAGGCAGAGAGAGACAGAGAGATAGAAAGCAAGAAATCACCCCCCCGGGGGGATGGTCATGCCGCAATCCCTTCTCCTCCATTCTCCTCTCAGGATCTTGGGCATGCACGCACATGTACTCAGCATGAGTTTAAGTCACCGGGTCCAGGACTTGAACCACGGTCCACTACATAAAAGTTCAGCAGCATAGCCATTACACTAACTGCTGGTCCTGATATAAGTAAACATTTTCAAACAAGGGTGTGTGCCCTCTCTACTTCTATGCTTAAGTAGCTGTGTGAACTCTGCAAGTCACATAATCACTCTAAGCCAAAACTTCCCTGTGACTCCAACAGGAGTTAATGCTTGTCTGCCATAAGACCTTCAACTGAAGACTTCTTTGTTTCTCCATAATAACAGCTCTTCCATTACTTTAAACCTCTTTCATCTCTTCCTGGGTTAAAACAAAAGTTTTCTCTGCCTTTAGATTTGCTTCTTGCCAATTCTTGCTCCTCATTGTGTCCAGAGTGATATTTCTGGGATTAATGTGATCATGTCTCATTTACCTGTTAAAGCTCTTGCCATGGTGCCCTATCATGGATTGGAAATTATGTACACTCCTCGACATGTGGGGAATGCCTTCAGTGAGATCTCTTGTCTTTCCCTCTAGTGAGAGGGGAGGAAAGAGGGAATAATTTTTACAAAA